TGCTGACCCGAATTAACACCCATAAGCGGTTCTTGTAACTTTTTTATTGTATTTTACTCGTAATTTACAAAAGTGACCATCATAGAAGCTAATGATTAAGAGCAAGTCTATAACTGTAATATTTGTATCCCTATGTCTATAATATGGGTCATTCCATAATAAAAGATTACTCATTTTCACTGTTCTCTACTATTTCCTCTTCCTCCCAGTATGTTCAATTCCTTCGGCGTGTTTCATGGACACTTCTAGATTCAAGAAATATGATAGAGATTTAAAGATACAATTTAGGGCGTTAGTTCTGCGAATGCTTAAGAAATATGCGGCATGCTCGCATGTTTGTAAATTTTGAAAAATCCAAAGAAATGATAATTACATAAAAAGCATAAGAAATATTGCTATTTACAAACCAAATATCTACTTAATTTTTTGAACAATCAAATGATGCATTTATCCTACCCATTAAATTATTATGAATTTGATAAAAATAAAAAAAATGAATTGAAGCCTGTAATCGGCCCAACGAAAAATCGTATGTATCAGTAGGTTTTCGAAGGGCTTTTTGTCTCCCCGGAGTGGCGGTACCGCAGCAGCTCACAATGCATCGGTTGTTAGCGAAGCTCGGCCGCCCTCTTCTCTCATCTTCTCTCCATTGCCTTCCTCCCTCCTCTCCGAACCACCTCCCCGTTCACTTTTTATCCTCAATCAGATCTATGAACTCTTCCCTTACCCCGCACGTCCCGATCTGCCCTGCAAGGCTCCTAACCCATTCTTCCCCATTCATCCCGGTAAAATCTGAACGCTTCTTTCATCGCGATTCCTTTCAGAGATTCTCGATCTTTTGTGACGCTTTGTTGATGTTATGTCGCTCCTTCTTTTTCTTAGGTGTTCCAGTTCCGACACTTCGCGACCAAGAAGGTGAAGAGGTCTAGGGCACCGGACACGCCTGTGATATCGAAAGTTAAGAAATACAAGTTGAAAGCTTACTCGTAGGTTTGATTTCTTATTCTTTTCGTCTCTACAACATTTAATTTGAGTTACCTTTTTTGAATCCGTGGATTCATTATATCGTTTTTCATATTATTTGAGATCTGTAGGTCATTCAAGTACAGGTTCAGGACGATGAATGATGGCCTGATCCGGCGGTGGCGGGCGGGGAAGAGGCATAATGCCCATTTAAAGGTGTGAATTTTTATTTTTTTGTTTTGTTGGCTTTATCTTCTTTGTACATTCGAGACCTAGGATGGATAGTGAGGTTCCTGCACACTGCCTCTAATAAGGTACAAGGAAGAGACCTTATAGTTAGATTTTAGAAAGGAGGATATGGCTAATGATGAAGAAGGTGATGTTGATATTTGTTTGTGAACCGTAAGAGAAAGTAGTTGATTTGCTCGACATAGCTTGCTCTTTTTTATTTAGGCTAATCAAGGTTATTGTCGTAACTTTAACCTCATTCGAGCTGTGGCTTCATCAGTTCAAACATCTAATAACTTCATTCAACTGATTCAAGATGAGTTTTTTGAGTCATTCTGTGCTAATTTATTTAGTAAATTAAACAAATTCTTTCAAATTTGATTCTAATTTAGTATTTTTTGTGAAAGTTTTGAGATTTTAACTCTACTTCAAAAACTATGCTTGATATTGTAAGGAATTTTATGAATCCAAACCTTGTACCTTTGTTTTTGATCTTTAAGTCTAAAATTATTTATTATCCATTTATTAGGTGCATGCTTTTCTTGTTGGATTGTAAGAGTGCAACACTAATCAAATTGCTAGTTCTGCCTTTATGAGTACATCAAGTATGCATCCCTTTGAGACTAGAGTCTCAGTAAGTTGAGCGTTCCGAGCCTAGTTCTTGAGTGCCCCATTGTGCAAATCCTATGTTTACTTGTCTCTTCCAAGCGTACGTACTACAATCAAGTGCTTGAATCAATAATTCAATTATAGCAACTCAAACATTGGGTGTATATGAGCACCATCACTTGGGTAATTAGGCCGTCATTCCCTTGTAGTCCAAAGATGACAATTCCATTTGTTGCCTTTGCCTTCCTCACTCAGGCTCAAGCCACAAAAGGTGTTGATATGCTCAAATTGGTAATATTTGGGCTACTCCAGGACATTTGGGTAAGTTTAAGCTCATTTGAGCCATGATTTATTTGTTTTGCATATTTATTTATTTTTATTAATATTATTATGGGAATTTACATACATACCACCCAATTCTATGTATTTAAATATTTAACTTCTAAAATTCGCTTTTATTATTATTATTATTATTTGGTTTGGGGGCGG